TCACACCAGAAGGATTCAATGTGGAAACCCTACTATGTGAAACTGGGCTTTACCTCAAAGACCCTGGTAGCAGATTTAAGAAACTGACACACTCCTTTGGACTTAAGGCCTAGGACTTAGCCCTGTTGTGAAAACAAGCAGATAGCTGTGATCCCAAAGTTACATTATTGGGGTCATTGGACCTTCTTCAGATCTCTTGCTTGAGGGTGCCTGGGACTATTATATTTTGCCCTGGGGCTACCATATATTTACTATTTTAATGCCCTCTTTGTCTTTTTTATGATATATACTAATCTGGGAGGCATGGTACTGCCTTTGTGAATGAATGTTATTGAAAGTTTTGCCCTATCACCAATCTCTATTATTTTTCTAAATAGTGTCCAGACATTTAAGCGTTTAATCTGTTCAAGTCACAATTCATGTATTTCAGTTCGGAAAAGCTGGTCTATACAGGTATCATTTCCTAAACAATGTTTTAAGCTCTATACCATTGGCTAAATGAATGACATTATCAATAGAATTATCTTATGCCCAGGAGGATGATTTATAATGTCCTCTATAATAAAATGACAATGATGTCTCTAAAGTGAACCAGAGATATTTATAAACCATAGATATATAAATGGATTTTGGACTCATACTTAATTCCAGCCCCAATCTAAGAACAATTATTTCTTGTGACATGGCCCTACTGAATACTGGCTGTGATAGGCAGGGTTTTCTAGAGAAACAAAATCAGGACACTTATTTTATATATATATATGGATATTTTTACATAACACGAAGAAATATAACAGCTAATTAGTCCACACAGCAGTACAGAGGGCTCAGTTCAACTCACTTCCGTGGAACAGTTAACATACTGGAAGTCTTTCAACTCAGGAGGGCTGCCACATCCAAGGTCAAGGAAACAGACAGCTCAGTCTTGCCTTGGGCAATGCAGGCAGAGTCCACCCACAGGCAGCAGCTCAGGAGCTTAGTGAATCAGGCCCGGATGGGATATCAAACTCAAGTGATGTAAGCAGCAGCAATGTGGCAAAGTAGCTCTCGAAGGAGCCTCAAGTTCTAGCAACACGATCCACGGGTTGACTTGTCCTACAGCTAGTGTAGTTCACAAGTTGAGGCAGAGAACTACTAAAGCAGCCGCACGCTGGTCCAATCAACAGAGAACAAGAGAGAAGGGGGCAGGCTGTGCAGATTCATTTACCTCTTTGCCCTCCAATCAAACTGCAACCTGATTAGTCCCACATGTTCCTATTGGCCAGGTTGACACAGTAAATCTATCTATCACACTGGCCCTCATGCAGAGATCACTGAAGATATTATGGTTGTTATAATAGCAAAGTGTGGTAAAGAAACCAGAATAGTGCCTGGCTATCAGAAAGAATAGTGTCTAGGGTCTTAAAGGCTTTTCTTAAAAGAAGCAGTCACATAGCAGAAGCACACCAGCCTCTGGAATCTAAAGATTGTACATGATAAAATCCAAATCTTATGGGATAGTTTCAGAATTTAAATTCTGAATACCCTATTTGCAGAAGGCTGTTCATGACAGTTGAAGCCGAAATCCATTTGTAGATTCCCCATGAATCTCCTCGGACCATAGTGTAAGGTTATGAATAGCTTTGCTCTCAGACAGAGTGCATTGTAAAGCCAATTGTGGCAGAAACATTTAGGTTAAAATGTAACACCTCATCATTTGGTTTCCCTTTTGACACATTTTAAAGTTGTTTCATTTTTAATATTTCTGCTTTCTTTTTTATTGAGGTTTTTCTCTCTTTGTTTTGCTGTTGCTCACTACTGTTTGTATTTTGTATGATTTTCTGTATATAAAATCCAGGACAAGTAGACCTTTAGAAATTGTGACTGGATTAATAATTACCTAGGGTCATGGCAGTGGGGAAATGAGGAGTTAACAACAATGTGTACAAGGAGAAAAATGTCCTGAAACGGTGAACATCTTTTTAAAATTTCATTGAATGACTAAATTGCATATGTGAAGTATACGCCAGTAAAACTACTTTAAAAATATAAAAAGGTAAGCGTGCTTTTGAAATAGTGCACACCTGCCGATGCATTTTAAGGAGCCCAGGTTAACCTGTTAGGCTTGGACTGCTAACTGCAGTGTCAGCATATCAAACTCACCAGCTACAGGGGCAGTTCTGTGTAGGGTCGCCATGAGTTGGAGTTGACTCTGGCATGAGGGGTTTTTTGTTTTGTTTGTTTGCTTGTTTTCATTATCAACCAGTAAAATTGTGTCATCTGAATATCACAGGCTGTTTATGAGTCTCCCTCTGTTTTGGAGGAGGAAATCATGCTTGGTAGAATACAAGATCAATGAAAAGGAGGAAGGCACTCACTGAGATGGATTGATGCCATGGCTGGAACATTGCGTTCAAACACCA